CTCGTTTCAGCAGCATGTCAACGCTGGACTACATTACACATGTACAGCCAGATACTGTACATCTACCTGTATTGCACCTTCAGCCTGCCGCAATCTCGCATAACACAGCAGAGAATATATGAGAAGAGCAAAAAAGTGCAGCTGCATGGGATCTTTCATTCACACCGGGTAATAGCAACACTGCCACTAAAATCAAGTCAACAAAAGAAAAAAAAAGCATAAAGAAACATTGGGGGGAAAATATATATATATAAATGTTGTCACAGGAGACGCCTGCAAGCATTAACGGTTCACTATGGACGTGCCTTTTTCTCTCTTTGTGGTGTTGTGACACTCATTTCAAAAGAAGCTGCAACCTATGCAGGGGTTTTAAGAGAAGTCAAGTTAAGCAGCATCAGAAGACTCATGTTACCAGATGCGGCGTCACTTATTTTGCCAAAGCTAACTTAGAGTGCTGAGTGTCACTGTAGTATTAACTGGTGTTCACTTACCTCTGCACTCTGGCAATTCTTTTTTTTTTTTTTTTTTTTTTTTGTAATTCATAATCCATCCATCCATCCATCCATCCATGAATTTTCTAATCCACTTTGTCCTCACAAGGGTCGCGGGCATGCTGGAGCCTTTCCCAGCTGTCTTTGGGGAGTAGGCGGGGGACACCCTGAACTGGTTGCCAGCCAATGGCAGGGCACACACAGATAAACAACCATTCGCGCTCACACTCACACTAAGGGACAATTTAGTGTTGTAATTCATAAACAAGAACTAATAAGTATAGCTGGTGGAAGGGAAAACTTGGAATACATAATTTGCATTTCCATTGCTTCTTATGGGAAATATTTCTAACGGCTATGAACTGGGATTGTACGGCATCTTAAAGTCTAATATTTTTTTTCTCTAGTAAACGGCACTCTACATTACAACATTATTGTATGAAATATGGCAGAAAATATGTTTCTGTCAATTAATGTACTTTTTGAAATAATCATTTCTTACTCTTGAATGTGTGAATTGACAGGAACAGTTTGACTACTGTAACGCAATATTAAGCTCTAAGGGTCATCAACACTCAAGGCCAGCCCCCAAGGACCACATGAGAAGCCCATATGGGCCTGTTCTAAATACAGCACACCAATAATGGGACATTGTAATTACGTACCTTGGTTGTCGACGTGACCATTTGAAAATGTAAATGCAGGCAGATGGACAAAAACAACGCGTTCCATATTGATACTGATCTGTTTCCTACCTTGTTAAATCATTATTGATAATTATTGTAAGTCCCCTCATAGATCAATACAGTATCATCATTTATTAATAAAAACATCATTAAAAGTAAATTGACCAAATTAGTTATTTCAGAAGTGTGTATCAAAATGCATTAATCAGTACCCATGAAATAGTTGGTGACCCCTGTTAAAGTACAACAAATCCAAGCTGTTATCAAAACTTGTAATGTCGGAAGATTCACAAAAGCCACGCTGACGATTGTGATATGTCGTGGGGATTAAAGGAAAAGCTCTGAATGACCCTGGCGGCATGCTGACAAATGCACGCTGGCACATGGCTGCAGTATCAACAGACATACACACAGTTAAGTGTAAGACACAACCAGAGCGAAGCGTGATAGGTTTTGACTGGGGCCAAAAATGGGTTGTCGGGTTGAGTCCTGTGGACATAATGAGAGCTCAAAACAATGCTCAAATAAGATCATAAAATGAAACCATCGGGAAGCAAATTGAGGATGGGCGTTATACTTGCTTGGTCAAAAGAGCAGCAATTAATTTATGGATGCCTTCTGAATGCTAACACCTTCTCCTTCCTCCTAGGACATCGATTCACACCTCCTCAGTTCCTGGTGCAAGGAACTGATCAATCCCGTTTCCCTCTTCATCTCGCCTTGCTAAATATAACCCCTCTTCCCTTTTATCTGTAGCCAGGAAATGAGTCTGGCATTGTATAACTGGCTGCAAATTAAACAGACTTTGGTGAAGGGCATCTCCAGAAATGGTTGATTGATTACATATTAATTGTCTAATGCCGATGATTGATCCACAGGGAGGGATGAAAGACAATACGGGGGAAGGAGAGAGTAGAGAGGGTTGAGTTTTGAAACCGAGGCGGTGAATGTAAATGGCCTGAGTAGCTATAATGATTTCTACATTGACATGACAGTGAGCGGATGTAACAGATCAACTTGCACTCTAGAAGAGTCAAGACAAACGGCAGAGAGATTGAAACGCCTGCTTGTCTGCCATTTTTCAAGCCAGACATCTACGGAAGTCTTGCCACACACGCACGCACGCACGCACGCACGCACGCACGCACACACACACACACACAACACACACACACACACACACACACACACACACACATGCACACGCACAAGCAAGGGCCTGCTTTATCCCACACTATCGATCCACACCCCACTCTTCATTCGAGAGAAGGATGCAAAGGCAACAGGAACAGTCGGACATTGTGTGCATGGGTGTGCACAAGTTCTGTGTGTGTGGACATGCATGATCAAAGAAGCCGTCTCTGGTTACACCCTCCCTGCGTGTGTGTGTGTGTGTGTGTGTGTGTGTGTGTGTGTGTGCGTGCGTGCGTGCGTGTGTGCGTGTGTGTGTGCGCGTGTGGGTGCACGCGAGTATCTTGCGTCTCCGCGTGTCGCTGTGCAGGGTGTGTTCAGGTGTCAGCAGCATCTGAGAGCAGATCAGTGTTACTCCACTGCAGTGTGTCCTCGCTGGCTGTTCCTATGGAAACTTCTTCTTCTGTGTATTATTAGACATTGGAGTGTCATATGCTCCGAGTAGGAAGACACAGCCTTTGCAAAACCCTCATTACAAATCTCATCTCGACTCCAGCACACACAGGGTGGGAGACCTGATTGTTAGAAAATATTTGTTGTCGGTATTATTGTTGTTGTTTTTATAATTTGATTCAAGCGGTGTTTGGTGACTCAAAGCGGTGATTCTAATATGATGAACTTCTCATGTAGCTGATACAAGCGAAGAAAAACACTGCCTTTTGCAATATGTGCAGCTTTTCACCACAGCAAACTGCAAAATTTGTTCATTACACCCAGAAAAAACAATTTCAAGACAAACGAGAAATTAGGCTACATTCACACTGCAGGACGTCATGCCTGATTCGGATAGTTTTTTTTTTTTCTGTACTCATTCACATTACAAAAACACACGCTTGTGCACAAAGCAGGACATTGAGGAATGCCCCAAAAACCATCATCACGTGGCACACATGGTAACACATGTAGTAGCTCATCTGAGATTGACGGGGTAGTGAGGCGACATCTCCTCATTTAATGGAGACGTCTACCAAATAAGACATCACGTCATTGTCGTGCATGACAAATGAATCGCCTGCATCATGATCACCACCAACGTCCACTTTATACTTCATATTTCAAGTCAATTCAAATCAAACATAAAAATAACACCGTTATTCCAAACTACTTTGCAGATTCCCGGACGATGTCAGTAGACTCCCGAACACTCCCACCTTTCGGCGTGGAGCGCATTTTTGGCTTTTGATGACGCATAGATCGGATGGATACAGACGACTGCTCACACTACAGACACATCAGATACATATCCGCTTTCTATCCACGGGCCCAAGTTAGATTTGGAAAAAAATCTGAATTATACTATTCACAATGCATGAAAAAAAAAAAATCGAATACATGTCACATATGGGCAAACAAATGGGAATCGACCTGCAGTGTGAACATAGCCTTATTCCCCTTAAATGTAAAGTTGTTTTGACCAACCTATCAAACACAAACAGTACATAACACTAACAAGGAATCATAAATACACTTCTGTGCACGTGAAATGCCAGTCAATCAACACGGCTTTTCTTTTTGAAGAATATTTTCACCTTTGAGTTTCTTTCTAAAAAGGCACCACATCAAAGTGCCCTAAAGTTGGCTCATTTAAAGCCAAGACTCCATCTTTCACCATCATACTGATGAAAGCGTTCTCTGAACTGCTGCAGAAGTTCGGCCCGCAACTGAAGGTAAAATGTGTTTCAGTGATATTCGTTGATTATTCATCGTGAAATGCAGCATAGGTTCTTTTGTCGCGTTTCTTCGGTAAGGTCACATCCGCTTAAAGCGAGCTGAATTGCCTTAGGCCCAGGGTCATTTCACGATGTATTTATATTTGAGTTGATTTCGGGGAAATACAATTTGAAGGAAATGTTGTACTGTAAGTGTGAATGAATTGATTTTAATAAACTTTGCTTATAATCATTCCTTTAGTTGTGCAGACATGTAACCTGTTTGTATTTTTAGCCCCTTTAATGAAACTGTCAGCGCTGTTTCAACGGATGCAAAAATAAATAAGAGTAGAGAAGGTTAATTGTGGAGGAGGCCAAAGCCACGGAAGGTGTTAAAACTTGGGCAATAAGACATGGCGCTCACAGCTCCATATGTCACACCTTTCCCTCTGCACAATTTATGTATAGTGTTGGCTGGACGTGTTTGTGCAGTGCACGTGAAACTTTCTTTTCTTTCTTTCCCGTTCCTGCTGCGATTCACTGGCATTGTGTACAATGGTTATTTTGTGTGGACTTTGGTCATTTCATCATTGTGGTAAATGGGTTCACATTTCTTACAGTATCTGTAGTTTGAGGCGGTGTAGCGGGCATGATGTGGGAAGTGTTTCGGATCCACTCGCGCATAACAAAACAGTAAAACTGCATTTAGGGGTTTTGAGCAAGGCTTAGAGTCGTCTGTTAAAAACAAGCCCATGGAAAAAGAGGGAAGGGTAATGAAAAGAGATTGGAATTGGAAAATCAGCTTTGATTTGAAAGATGTGAGTGCATCGAATCAAACTGAATCGAATCATTGCACTTTAAAATGTACCTTCCTGAAAATGCCCCCATGTATCGCAATATGTATCAAATAGTCTTTTATTGCAGAGATACACGCCCCTAGCAAACTCCCGAGTACACAGTACAGTATACACATGCAGACTGACCTCTGGAGTGGGAGTCTCCCGCTGTGCTGTCGATGGGCGGCTTCTTTACGGCTGAAGAGCGATAGACGATGTGCGTTCTTCCTCCCCCTGCCTCCTCTTCAATCACTCCGTCGCCTCTTTCCGCAGGCTCAATGAAGTACTCGTCTTGCTCCGTCCTGATCATACCAGCCTAAGAAATAGATAAGATACGTTTCACTTTTCTAGTATATAGAGCCTATAATGAAACAGATGTATAAAACCAATGTAAATCTGTCAATGTTTGACATATATATAATTTGCATCCCTTGGTACAGTGGTACATTGACTTGAATTTTTTTAAAATGTTAGCAATATACGAGTTTTGAAAGGTCATGTTAACACCCGCAGATACACAAACATGCTCACATTTGGGTTTTTAAAAACCAGAAAAAAATCCCGTCCAAATCTTTGGACATCCAAACATGCATCAGAATACCTCCGCTGAAGGAACATTTGGTTTGTGTTCTGCTCTACCCGTATTTTTTTGAGAACATCAAGTACTTGTATGTGCAGCGTCAAGCCACGGACTGATAGATAAATGCCACTTATTCGCTGTAGTGAAGTGCGGCCACCGGCGGCCATCAAACAGTGTCACTCGCTAAAACAGACTAACTTGAAAATGAAAATGCCACAGGGAGTTTCTATACACACTCATATTTGCAATATATCAGTCCGTATGTTGAAGGCGGAATTTCCACACTATTTGACCAACAATCAAATACCTTGGTGGATTTCCGGTGTGCTCGTTGTTGGGCTTGGGAATGACCACATACACACGAGTCAGTTACACAGAAAAGTATTTAATACCTAACAAATAGTCTAAAACAGCATACATCAAGCCAATTATTCTAAACAGAGCTCTGGGTCATCAACTTCTCCTAACCGCGAGGGTAGCAAGGCAGAGTGACAAAGACGCGTTTCACTTGACCCACCTTTAATACAATTCCTCAAAAAGGGTGTGCCTCTCTTTGTGTGTGTGTGTGTGTGTGTGTGTGTGCGTGCGCACGTGTGCTCAGGCATGGGCAAATGGTCTGAGAGGACAGTCTGGGTGTTATCAATTAGGTGTGAATTGTCCTATTGTGAATCTTCCCTTTATGGTCTTCCACATTTGGCCGTCTTTTGTTGTTGGATACGGTCGTTCTGCTGTGGGGGCCCTTTTAAATGCCGATTGTGATCTCCAGTCCGTGGGTCCGGCCGGGGTCCCCCTTTGCTCGTGGCACCTTGGCACCCCCTCTTCCTCAATCCCACCCAAATGCAAACAGTCTCTCATTTCCACTCAGCAAAACATCATTATTTGCAGTTATGCATTCCAAACCTTCACCCGAATCATCTGTAACCATGAAAGGCAGCACTGACACAAAAGCAGGTATTTTGTGACTATATGAAAAACCGCAAAACAGCAATATGAAAGCCTATAGTGTGAATGAAAATCCCTTCAACATCTGGTTGCGAACGAAACAGAAACACACAAGCATAGGTAGACAAACATGGCGACACACAGAGGGAGCCCAGCACCACACTTTTGGAGCGAGGGTGAAATTGAGTACTTCACTAGTGTGGTGAAAGACACAAATACGGTGCAATGTTTTTTATTGACAGTAGAAAGTATGATGCGGTCATGATTTCTCTTTGCATCTGACGTTGTCCGCACGTCATGGTTTTGATCGGGATATTCCAATTGATCACAGTTATCCAGTATAAGGGAATAACTGTCTGTCCACTCACGCGTGTAAACATTTAATCCCGAATGCTTCAGAAACCTGAACCCAAATATTGACTGTATGTAAACACAGTCACTCCCTGTGATGCCACTAGAATCAAACAACTTTCATGACCACACCAGTATCATTTCCCCGCTATAGTTCAATGCCAAATCTAAGCAGCTAATTGGCTAATCTAACCAAAAAATGGGCACTTTTGCAGTGCACATTTCCCCTCGCGTGGATGATGTGTGATCATGATTGCTGCGAGAAACACGGAAGGAGATTTGAGTGGGAAAGTGGGTGTGCTGTTGTTGTTGAGGCTCTCATGTTGTGTAGCAGCTGCTTTCTGCGTCAGTGTGACCGACGCTTAGAAAAAGGGACATTATAGCCTGCAGCAACATTGATTTGCTACACAGACACACAATGGGCTGACTGGATAACTATTGTGCACAATCATTTTGAAATTACATTGGTGCTTTGAGATACAAGTTTCATTCATTCCGTGATCACGCTTGTAACAAAATAAATTGAAAAGTCATTACTATATTCCAGCCCTCCCTGGCCCCCCAAAAAAGAGAATTTTTTTTTTTTTTTTTTTTAATGAGGAGAATGACACTCCAAAATAATTTACAAAAACATAGAGGATTATTAAAATTAAACAGAATTAAAAATAAAACAGTTTTTGTCATACGGTTCTTCTCTTTCCGATGTGTCCGCCTTGCGACTGGAAGCCATATAAGATAGTGAGACAGATGGACATACTATTCTGGGAGACTTTTCAACTCCTCTCATCTCATCAGTGCGACGCTAATTGTAGGAGTCAATTCAGTCTTGCGTCTATAAATGAAAACTCCAAATGGCAAAACCACATAATGTCGTGGAAGTGAAAATGAGTGATTTTATACACAAAAAGCTTTGCGCATGCTCTCAAAATAGTGTTTTTTTCCCCCTTATTGTATTTATTTACTCAGTTCACATATAAGGCTGTCTTGGTTATTGCATACAGATTACAAATTTAAACAAATGGATCTTCAATGAGTCTTTATGGGCAAGGAGTCACAAAATAAGACACTGCAACTTCTTCTTGCCCAGTCATTCCCATTCAATGTGCAGCAAGAGATCATGTAGTGTACTGTGGAAAATTATTCCATTTCACCTAAGTGGTCTGAAAAGTATGATTTGTTCACTACTATTGCACACATACAAATATCTCTGCTCATCTATCTATTCTGGCGATATATAGTGACAGGCAGAAAAATCAAATGCTCGTCCACTGGATTGCAGATGGTGCAGTTGATGATTGGCGGTGTGCCATATTTTGTTTATCTTTTATTTTTTTCTAATGTACAATGTGACTCGTCCTTGTCTCAATATAGTTTGGAAAACACTGAACCGATTTGTGAAGCCAATTTTACATTATACGCATTCGATCATGCTATCATATCATTTTAAATACAGAGTTGGCCGTAAGTTTCCAGACATGTTTCGAATAGCCTAGGTATCACAGGTATACAAACAAATGTATGGTAAACGATGGCACACCCTATCATGACAAAAATGAAAAACAGACATTTGATTTAAATTTGAAATTAGAATGTTAATGAGGTAAACTTTAGTTAGTTGTTACCTGTTGTTCATAATATCTCCCTCAGTGGTGTGGAACAGGTGATTCAGCTGATAGGCTCGCTGAATAGTTGAAATTATTGACTTGCATGAGTATGTATTCACGTCACCCCAACAAATATTGCGCAATAATTGCAATTTACTACTTGCCTTTGTGAAATTCTCCTCAATTCTTGGAAAAGGAGGCTCACTTTCACTTTTTCCAATTCTGTCTTTCTTTTTATCACATTGAGGGTCTTGTGGCGAAACCACATCAACTAGCCATTGACCTGTCATCTCACTCGCTCACTCTCTCGCTCTCTTTTCATCCCTGCATCTCCCCAAAGCCACGGAGCTGATGGATCTTAGAAGGCGCATGCGTTGCCAACCCAGAATACCAAACAGTGCAGAAAGAAGAGCTGTGTCAAAGACAAAAGATGACAAGTGGGAGAGAGACGTGGCTGGATCGATCCGAACCAGCACAGGAGTGGGTGGGGGGTGGCAGGGAGGGGACCGTGTGAGTGGACATGTCCTTTGAAAAGCTGAAGTCAACACAGCTTCAAAGCGTCGGCACACAAATCCACAATGATCATCTTCTCCTGGTGCTACTCCAGGGGATTAAACATGGCTGCTTGTCCGAATGTGAGATCCAGGAGAGCTCGGCATGTACTGCATGTACTGACACAAGCTGGTTTATTGCAAAAGCCACTTGAGTGTTGTGGCAACAAAAAGATTTTGATTTCTGCCTTTAGAAGACTATAATACCACAAGAAGTATCGCATTAGTAAGAAATGTTCACTCTCTGCGCAGTTGCGTGATCTTAACGGAATCAATTTCAAACTTCCAAAAGACGTCCTTCCTTTTTTGAACATCTGACACAAGACGGTCGAGGTCAAATTGGTATCCATTACTCCCACTTAACGGTATCACTTCACAGCATGTCATTTCCAAACTTTCAGGGATTCTTTTGAATCAAGTTTTCAAGAGCCTGTGAAGTGAATTCTTAGACTTGCTGAAAACGTGTGCAAAGACTGTGAATTATGCAGCACTAAATTGCGGTACTAATAACATTAAACTAATTTGGTGCGTGGCTAAAACACTTTGGAGTCTCGTACCAGTTGACCCTCCCCGACTCTGTAAGCGCCTTCGTCGTCTTATCTGGCATATCTGTCTAGTTATGCCTATATCTCGAAAATGCATTTTGATGGTCCGCTGATGTGGCTGCTATAGAGCGCCTCATTGTCGGCCGTGAGTACACACACTTCACCGAGAGAAGGAAGAAGAGCGAGGGGGGTTGGGTCCAACTTGATAGCAAGTGTGTGGATTGAGACTTTAAGATAGCATTGCTGATTTAGAATGCCTCAGTCGCGGCCAGTAGCACATGCACATCACAGAGAGACGGAGGAAAAGCGACATTGCCAACATAAGAAAAAGTCTGTGGGCAAAATGAGATGAAAATCTTAATACACTAGTCAATTTTGGACGGCTACTTCCAGGGAAGATTTATCGGGAGCATCGCTCCTGTGACCTTTCCTGGGAATCCATAACGGGCAAACACTTCAAGTGTTTTGAAGGACAAATGTTCAGTTCAATGCCGTCAACAAAATAAACGTTCAATCTTCTCCATTGTGTAATACACACACAATTAGTTTCACAGAGTCTATTGCAAGCCTTTTGAATGTCTTGAAAAATGCATTTTATCACACAAAAATAAGATGTTGTGATGGTAAATTTACAATTAACTTTTTGTTGAGGAGTTTCCTGAAACCTTATCTTATAAATGAATGATTTGCTATGCTATTCTATGAACTTGATATGCCCTAACAACTTTGAAATTATGGTTGTT